CACACACACACACACACACACACACACACACACACACACACACACACTAGAAGAAAGAACCAATGGACAGCTTCACTCTCAAAGTTTCTGGTTCTGTTCCTTGCAAGGGTTTCCTTGGTCTGTGTGGTCAATGGTCTGTGACTGTGTGACCCAGGGTTGAATAATTTCAATCCCTTCAAGCTGGAGGACCCTATGAATGCAGAGTTCTATACTTGGCTGACCAGCTTCAGCCTGATTAACTTCCACTTAGATCTGTTCCTGATTCTCACGCTCCTCTGTTTCCTCCAGGCTTACTTTCTCAATAACCCCTGGATAATCCAAATTCCACTTCAATTTCATAACTTCACTCTTGTGCCCTTTAGATCCACACCATTTCTCTTTTATCCATTCAAAGCTTCAATGGCTTTTCACTTGCCCCTTCTCTGGAAAGCCCTTTTTTGAGTTATCTGCATTCATGCTTCTCACTCAGAGAGTCTCTGTCCAAGACTGTTTATTAACGCTCTTACATGGAATTTTTTCACTCTCCACTCACATACCAAATCCTCTGAGACTCAGAATGCTTCCTCTTTCTCTCTCTTTTCCCCATGACAATATTTAACATAGAGCTAGGAATATAGGAGGTTCCATAGAAAGCAGATTCTAGTATTAGGTATTATTTATAGGACAAGACAATATTCCGGACATTGTTGAATACTTTAGCTGTATCGGCTCATTTAGGTGTCTAATATTAACCTTATTTGTAGGAGCCAAGCCTCAAAAAGATAGAAATAGTCATTGGCTCAGGGTCACAAACCTGGTAAATGAAAGATTAGAGACAAAGATCAAACATTGAGGGGAGTAAGGGCAGGAAATGTATTTGAGTTAGTACAATACTTCCTTGACATACATGAAGCCCAATATTCAATCCGAAGCATCACACAATCTGGGCATCTTTAATGCATAAACGCCAGGGCTTAGACAGTGAAGGAAAAGGATCAAAAATTAAAGTTCATTCTCAGCTACATATTGAGACTGAGGCCAGCCTGAGCTATTATGTGAAAACTTCTTTCAGAAAAAGAGCATCAGGCATTAAAAGAAATTCAGTTAGCACAATAATTTTAAATCAAAATTGGAGAAAGCTATGGATTTCAGAGGCAGCAGGAAAAGTCCTTGTTACCTGTTGCAACTTGGTTCCAAACATGGAGCAGCTCACATCAATAACAAACACCACATTCTTCTTTATTGGCTGTAGGCCTCTGGGGAAAAAGTAATGAATAAAATATCCAACATAGATCTGGACAAAAGAAAGGCAGCCAAAAAGAATGGTGAGAGCCAATATGAATCAGGCTCCTCTAACTCTCCTGCATAAGGCCCCTCTCTTTCCTTCCCAGGCCTGCTCACTTTCCCTAGCTGTGTCTGTTGGCTCAGCCTTGCTCAGCATGCCAGAACTGAACCTCTGCTCATCAGACCTTCATCCCAGGCCTTGCCCAGAGCAGCAGGGTGATAGACTCAAAATTGGGGCCCAGGCCCAAGGGTCAGCATCTCTGTGATATGTGAGTTCCTGTCCATGAGACAGCCTGACTTGCATAGGCCTGAGGATCCCCAGGGACATGTGTCTGGGCTCCAGGAATGGAAAGCAGTTTTAACCTCTCTCAACAGAGTGAGCCTGGGGCCCAGCTCATTGCTGCCAAGGGCTGGGAGCTTGCAGGGCCTCCTTCTCCTCCTAAACCCCCCTCTCTGCTGTTGCTGGGCAGAGCAGGGAGGGAGGAGGAAGCAGAGGCCAGCAGAGCTGTCTCTGCAGAGGGCATTGGTTAACACCAGGTGCAGATGCTTTGGGCTGTCCTGCTGTGATTGGCTGCTGTTCCACACTCCATCTTTCCCTCTGCAGAGGGCTGGGTCAGAGGAGGGAAGGGAAGGAGATGGGCCAGGAGGCCCCTCAGGATCAGAGTTATCTCCAGCCAGGGAGGCCTAGGCTACCTAAGGGGGCTGTCAGGGAGCATACAGCTTGAGGCCTGAGGCCTGAGGGCTGCCCAGAAAAGGCAGTATTTGCTGCAGGCTGCGCTCAGTCACCCTATGAGCTAGCTCCCTGCTTTTCCAGAGGAGAGAGGACTGGGAAGAGGAAATGCCTTCTCTCCATACCTGCCTCTGAATTACTTCACAGGGCATGGGAGACCTGTCCCACTCAATCCTGGCTCCCTGTCCCATTTCCCCAAGGCTCCTATCACTCACCCACCCTGTCACTGACAACCCATGGCAGAATCCTTGGGGAATCCTTTGTACCTGGAGTACCTGGGAAAGGGAAGTGTGCCCACCAATGCTTCACCCCATTCTAAACAGTCTTGTGACCATCCTATAGCCTGGGTTCAAGAAAGTGCCCAGCAGCCTCCCACAGCACCCTCAGTCAATCATGCCATGCCCTCAGCCCAGGAACACTCTGAACGCCACCAAGTCACACAGGCTTGTAAACACAGCTTGATCTTCAGGGGATTTCACATGCCCAGGAGTGGCTTCCTCCTTCTGAGGGCCACACCAACTTGTGTCGGACCCTGTAGGAGACCTACCATCTTATTTCCCTCTAGGTTGCTCTCCCAGTAATGCATCATACTGGTCTTCTTTAGAATGTGGACAGCTTTCCATCCAATGACACTTGCTCCCAATTGCCCTCAGATTTCTAAGCAGCTCCTTTCCCACTGGGGGCATCCCAGGCTAAAGACAAGGGCAGGTGCAAGAGTTCTTTCCCACTGAAAGCAGGGAACATGCTACTTCCACCCCAGACTCATGCTTCTAACATCAAAGGCAGCTAGCACAAGCACATGCTACTCCACCCCCGACTCATGCTTCTAACACCAAAGGCAACTAGCACAAGAGCATGCTACTCCTACCCCATACTGATGCTTCTAACAGCAAAGGCAGCTAGCACAAGAGCATGCTACTCCTACCACATACTGATGCTTCTAACACCAAAGGCAGCTGGGACAAGCTTGTTCACAAAGCAACTAGATGCCTTTGCACTCCCAGCAGATCCTGCCTCACAGATGCATTTCCTGCTTGTACCCTCTGAGATTCTGAGACCCTGAGGTCTTCTCCTGACATCACAGGGAATCTCTTTAGAGCTTTCTCTGGGTCTCTTTGTCTCCATGGGCCAAGACAGCATGTCCAAAGTTTGCCAGGTCAGTGAATGCACAGGAGAAGCTCAAGGGAGTATCAGTCAGTGAAGGAAGCTGTGGGACTATGTGGCTCTGAGCAGGCCCTACACATTTAGGTCCTGGTTCCTGAACCTAAGGTCAGGCCTGCTGAATTCCAAAGCTACTCTGAGCTGCTGTCAGGATGCACACATTGCCTCTGGGTGACTTTGCTTCCTCCCTTCTGTTCCACCTCTGGGTCACCACTGTAGACCCCACACCGCTTTCCCCAGCCATAACACCCCTCCTCCCTTCCTCAGCTGGACAATTGAAGAGCTCAGGTGCCTCCAAATTGGAAGGCCCAGCGACACCTTTGCTCCCCAACAGCAGCCTTGCTATGCTTTCCTAATGGAGACCATCAGCATCACCAGACTCCCTCCCCATCAGATCTGAGAGCCAGCCTGGCCCTGCTTGCCAGGTAGCCACCTATCCCCATTGCTTTTCTCTGCTACAGACTTTCCAGGGCTGCCTGTCCTCTTCTGCACAGCAGCCATATTTCCATTGTGGACTGCTCACTCTCAGCTTCCTTGTCCTACTGCAGTCCTTCCACCTGCCTCTTTGCAACAGCCATGACTGCCATGGGTCTCCATATACATCCCTGCCATCATTCTGTAAGTATTGCTCCTCTGCACTCCACCCTACCCTTTGCTGGCACTGTGCCACTCCCTTCGCTCTAAGCAAGATCCACTCATTTTTGCCACAGAATAATGTTAAATCATTCAGGCAGGCTGTTCTTCAGCCTCCTGCCTGGCGCGCGCACGCACACACACACACACACACACACACACACACACACACACACACACACTGCTCAGCACAGCACTGAGGGTTTATTTGATCTCTGATGCCAATATGGATCTGTCTGCTTCATATTCAGGAGTTAGCTGGGGGAGAGTTTGTGGGCTGAGTCCAATCCCTTTCCAGTTTACAGGGGCAGTGAGTTGGGCCCTGGGCTTGAGTAGTTTTGCTGGGGGGTGTGCCAAGATGGGGGATGAAGGGGCAGGCTTGTTCCTAGCACTGTATAGGCTGGAGAGAGCTGCAGGGGAGATATGGGTGTGGCAGGATGGAGATAGGAAGGTGTTTACAGGAGACTAGAGTGCAGAGCAGGAGCTCAGAAGTGGAGGAGTTTGAGGGAGTCATACCCAGAGCAGCAGTGAGCCTGAGCAAATCAATGTTCCTGTGCCCTCTGGGACTGGCTCAGGCAGTGGTGGAGAAAGGTGCTTGGTGACCTGGGGCCTTTCAGAAGGTGGGTTTGTATGCAGGGCAGGAGGGAGGCAGGAACGTCCTTCTGGGAGCTGACATCTCAGTCTTTGGCCAACCTCACAAGCAAGCCCCCAGTCCTGGGTCAGGGCTGCCCTGCTCAGCTGGAAACCAGGGACTGCCTTCTCTTATGGTTGCTCAGGCTCAGAGTTGACACCCGTCCTGTGCAGTAAAGGGCCTCATGATGAGGAACAAGTGTTCAGAAGCCAAGCACAGTGAGAAAGCCAAGGACAACAGGACCGTGTGAGAGCTACAGAAAGCTTGTGAGGCCAATTACTCAGCAACACTTTGCTGGGCAAAAGGGCTGCTTCAGAGCTGGGTAGGGTCTGAGTCTACTAGGTGGCTCCATTCAGGCCTTGTTTCAAGCCCTTCAGCCCTGAGTCTATAACTGTGAGGCATGTACATGCTTCCCAAGGAATGAAGCTATATACCTTGTCCCCTGATGGGAGCTTTCACATGTCCCTGGAACACCCAGAGGGACAGATCCTATAGCGTAAAGCATGACCCTGGCCTGAGTGACTGTGTGCCCAAGAACTCTGCTGCTCTGGGATCCAGGTATCTGCAAGCCTAAGGTCAGGCCTGCTGGATTCAAAAGCTACTCTGAGCTGCTGTCTGGACGCACACATTGTCTCTGGGTGACTTTGCTTTCTCCCTTCCATTATACCTCTGGGTCACCATGACAGGCCCCATAGCACTTTCCCAGCCATAGCACCCCTCATCTCTTTCCCAGCTGTGTCCTTTCTCAAGTGAACACAATGAAGATTTGGAGAGCTCAGGTGCCTCGACTTGGAATCTCTAGTGATTTCCTCCATGATTACATCATAGTAGATGGTGAAGTCAGCCATGATGCTTGAGCTGGAGACGGCAGCCTGGTTTGCACTGTTGGGGAGAAGGTGATGTGGATACAGATCTCTCCCTTTTGTCTCCAGTGGTTGTGGGCAAGTCACCCTCACCTGTATGGGCATCCAGGTGGCATGGTGTTCATCAGAGAAAAAAGCCATGGGTGGGGACAGTAAGGGAGCAATGTGTGAAGAGGATGAAAAGTGGAATCCCTGCCACTCTCAGCTGCCCATTGGCCCTGTCACAAGCCCCATGGCCAGATCCTACCCTGTCCCATTCATCACATCCTGCCTGCCAGACCCAGCCCTCCCTCAGCTCCCAGACCAGGAGGTAGAGAATCTGTCCTTCACTCACAACCTCACCCTGCCTCTCTTCCCACCCAAAGTCTGTCTCTGGAGGACTCTCTTGCCCCAGCTATACCAGGAGCCTTAGGCTCCTCCTGAGACCTGTGTATTGGGTGGTGAAGACAGAGACAGACATAGTGGCAGAGCTCTTCTCTTCTCCTTCCTGCTGTGAGACAGGGCTGGTTAGCAGGGCTCACTTCTGAGACCCAACCCCATGGCCTCTCTTCTCCCTCTTCCCCCTGCCACTCAGAATCATGCCTGTGAATGAGCCTCTTAGAGTCTCCTGAAATCACTGGTGATTTGGGTTTTGGACATATGCTGAACTGGCTGCAAGATCAACTCCTCTGAAATTTTAGGCTAAGACAAGTGTCCATTTAGACATGTCCCAGTGCCTCCTTCTCTCCAGAAAATGGAGGCTTGGGAATTCTACTACCCCCTCCTTCCTGCTACAGCTGTCAGGAAGCTTAGGGGCAAACTGAGCTCCCATGCTCTCAGAGCCTGCTCACATTCATTCCCTGGGCTTCCTTCCTTCCAAGGCTCTTTGTTGTTTTATCCCCACAGGACTACTCCAATCCTCTGTTTTAACCTTTAAGGAGAAGGGGGAGGGAGCTGCCATTTATAGCTTGGGGCTTAAGTATGCAGGCTGCTAGGTTTAGCTGGCCTTTGGGCACTGGTCCCTGATAGTACCCTATGGGCCTGGGCTACTTTTCCCTTTCTGTGAGCTCTAGACTCCACAGCCACAGCACAGGGATGACTGTGGCCCCTAGATCATAGGAGGCTGATTTAGGGATTGGATGTGGGCTCATGGAAACAGGCATTTGAAAACACACCTGTACTTTCATGAATGTCATCTGAAAGGAACTGTTATTCTTGATGGTGCTTCGAGTCATGTGGCTAGAGGAATGGTCTCGCTTCTTACAGTGGATCTTCGATTATGTGGTGGAGTGAATAGGATTGGCTCCCATAGACTCCTATCTTTGAATGCTTATCCCTTAGGGCGTGGCACTATTAGGAGGTGTGGCCTTGTTGGAGTAGGTGTGGCTTTGTTCGAGGAAGTGTGTCACTGGGGGTGGGCTTTGAGGTCTCAAATACTCAAGGTAGGCTTTTTCCTTCTGCTGCCTTCTGATAAGATGTAGAACTCTTAACAGTTTTTCAGCACCACGTCTGCCTGTATGTAGCCATTTTTTCTACCATGAAGATAATGGACTAAACTTCTGAAATTGTAAGCCAGCCCCAGTTAAATCTTTTCTTTTATAAGAGTTGCTGTTGTTATGATGTCTCTTCACGGCAAAAGAAACCGTAACTAAGACAATGTGTAACTTCATGAGAGAGTGATCACATGGCATGAAACAAGGACCTAGGCTCCTTCCTCAACTCTGCACTGAGCACAGGTGCTCTCCTTGTGGTCCTAGGCCATAGATGTCCTCTCTTGCATTTGGCAGGTCAACAAAGGGAAGCATAGGACTAGTTTGTCTTTCTCATATGGTCCTATCTCACAGCAAAGTCAATACGTGCTTAACCCAGCTTGTACCCCAATGCACCATGCAGTTTCTCTGGCTGAGTTGTTTCCCAACAGCCATACCCTCTTAGTGCTGAAAATCTCTGCAAGGGTAGCCACTTGCACCATATAATTTCCCTATTTCTATCCACTCAGCTCTCAAGGAAGTGTTTAAATTGGTTTAGTGGTCCCCCAAATTGGATGGGTGTCATGTTCACTTGAGATTCATTAAACATGGTGATTTGTGGTCCTGACTCAAGTCTATTGCACCAGGCTTCAGTATGGTAGGGTCCTGGATTCTGTGTCTCCTTAAGATTATATCCTGATTGCACTATATCCAGTTCCCATGTCATAATCCTCCAGGTAGACTTGGCAGTAAGCTTATTAGTCAAGAAGTTTCTCTGTTGTATGTGGCATCTAAGAATTACCTGCTCTACCTTTTTGCTTTCCTTCTTCTCTTTGTTGTCATTTAGAGAAAAGCAGAATATATCACCCATGCTTTCTACAGCTTTCAACATTGTTAAATCACTAGTACTCCATAATCCCCTTTATATCTGCTTGTCGAATATTTCTTCTCCTCTTCTCCTCCTCCTCCTCCTCCTCCTCCTCCTCCTCCTCCTCCTTCTTCTTCTTCTTCTTCTTCAGGTAGAGTCTCACTGGTTAGCCCTGGCTGATCTTGAAGTCATTATATAGACTAAGCTGGCCTTGAGCCCAAAGAGGTAACTTCTTCTGCCTCCTGATAGCTGGGATTAAAGACATGTGCCACCATGCCTGGTACATGAATTACTTTTAATACTTGAATCTATACTTGAGAAGCTTCTGTTTCATGACAAGTTTATACTGACTTCAAGAATTGGACAGTTATTGGAGTCTGAATATCTTGAACTCTAAGCAAGCCCTCTTCTTTATGATTTGGGAAGGAAACTGGTAGAGGGACATTACTGGAAGTTTATCCCACACAATGTCCAAGGGTTCTATTTAAAGAATGGCAATGTCTTTGGTAACTCAGCACTGCCCACATACTTGTTTGATTGGTAGTGCACATTCTGGTGGTCCTCAGGGGAGGTATGTGCACATAGGTGATGCCTGTCCTTTTAGACACAGTGATTTCTTCATTTACCATCCTCACCACTGTCCAGGCCTCAGGCTTATCACCAACTGGTACTGGCCCTGGTGTCACTGGAGCAGTTCCTCAGAGGTCAGAGCAAAAGTTTCCTGTGTGCCTGCTACCAACCTAGTGGAGATTTAAATTTTTTCTGATTCCTGATCCCTGGGCAAGAAGTAAAAATGGATAGGAAGGGTTTTGGATTTCCTGTAGTGTAGGGGAACCATTAGATGGCTTGCTTCTGCTAACCCTCACCCTTAACCAACTGGACCTGATCATGCAGGCATCTACTCACCAATCTCTCTTCCTCCTTTGTCCCCTCTCCTCAACATTCTGACTGGAAATTTATCTTTAATGTAGCTCTTTACCTTGTAAAAATCATGGCTTATAAAGATCTGGATTGAGAACAGACATTTAGGGGCTAATTTTTTGTTTAACAAAAAGTTTTCCACTTACACAGACAATGCCTCTCTCCCTTTAAATAGTCTCTTAAACCTGCCTGATAGCTTTGTTAAACTGAGCTTTTTATATGGCAACAACTCAGTTTTTAGTAACAAAATCTGAAGTATCAGTCCTTTAAGATGAAACTCTTGTAGAAGCTGAGAGGAATCGATAAAAAATACTATACTTACACCAGATGAATAGAACTCATTTAAGAAATATGAGTCAATTTGGATAAGTCTCACTTGTTAGCCCAGGACAGAAAGACAAATACTTTATTATATCTCTCACATGTGGATCTTTACTTCAAACTTGTGGATATCTATGTTTAACTTGCAGTGTCTGTAGAAGTCAGGAAGCTAAAAAGGGCCTATGAAAATTGGGGAGGGGCCAGAGGCCTTAATGGGATGAGTAGAACATATATGGTATAAAGGAAGATGGATTTTGGAGTCTAAAGCTTTAGATACTGATGAGAGTTGGAATACCAAATACTCTCTGATTAGATTTGAGGCATGCTTCACAAGAAGAATTTCATACTTGGTACTGAAAACCTAGTCAAAAACCTATGGCCTAGTGGGTCACAAGCCCTAAGAAAGAACCCACTTTTATTGTTTTACTAAATGGTCATGTTGTTCAATTGCTCTCAACCTTGATCAGGAAAGTTTCTTTTTTCACTGAGCAGTGATTAGTTAAGAGACTCATAACTGGTCAAAATTCTGAGAATAAGTGACTCAGCCCTAAATAATACATCTATATCACCCCCTCTGATGCCCAGGTAACATCATGGAATAGAGGGCAGAAAGAATGTAAAAGCTGAAGAATAAGAAGTAATAATATGAAACAATGTTTTCTGTATATGACACAACTTTTGTACTCATGAACTCACAGCAGCTGTAATTACCTGAACAAGACCTGTACAAGATCAAGCCAACCAAAATCCCAATACGAATGGGGGAAGGGCTCAAGATACCCAACTCTTCACTGAAGAGGTAGTTGGTGGCTTATATCAAGGAGGGAAAGTCATCTTTATTTGGAAGATGTAGTCACTGGTAGGTTGACCATGATCTAGTGAATTACCCCATACCCATTATGGGCAGTACTAACTGGACACATAGCATTTATAAAAAGGAGAGGATATGAAGTTGGGAGGGGGATGTATTTAGAAAGTATGAAGAGTTGTATGGAGGATGAGGGTTGGATATGATCAAATTACATTGCATACATGCATGAAATTCTCAAAGAATAAATAAAACATCATATTAAAAATAAAAATAAGAAGAGAAAAAGTCAGTTGTACATAATCTTCCCCCAAAGTACCAATTCTTAAGTAAGCTACATCTTGCTAGCTGAAGAAAGCTGGAATTAGGGAAGTAAATTTCCACTGTTATAGGCTTTGGTATTTATTAACTCACATAATCTTTATGTAAATCCTATGAAGTAGAAATCATTTTCTTCATTTTACATAAGTGGAGAATGAGGCCCAGAGAGAAGGTATATCTTTCCTGGTGATCCAGCTAAGATGGCTTAATCACATTTCAGATGAGATGGAACAGTACCTGATGCCTACATGAGCAGCTGTCTTTCCTTGCGGATAGGCTTTCTCATAGATTTTCTTTGCCTGGTGTTTTTCTTTGATTTCTGCAACATAAACTTCAGTGTTGATGGTCTTGGTGGGACAGAAAAAAAGAAAGGATAGCAGTGACAGAGAAAGAAAAAAAGATGGTAAAAACATAGATACAATAATAGGGAGAAGAAGGGGAATGAAAAGAAACAACAAAAGTGTCATTAAACTCAAATTTGAGTGGGAAGAACTAATGGGAGTTCTATAAAATAGGTGAAGATGTTCTCCTGAAGTCTATTTGTCAATTAGGGAAAGAAAGACCACACAAATATAGTGAACCAGTGTTGGAGTTTTGTGTTTCTCAAAGTGTTAATGTTTGCCTTTTAACACACAAGAGTATTTTAGGTGTAACATAGCTGAACATTTTAATTATAATTGTATATTTGTATAACATTTGTTCTTAAATAAAACACATCAAGCTAAGCATGTGGTGCAGACATATAGTCCTGACTGCTGAGTCAGAAATCTGAAGCAGGGGAGTGACAAATTCAAGGCCACTCTGGGCTATATAGTGTGTTCCAGGCCAAGCTAGGAAACTTAGTGAGATTTTTTTTTCTTTTGTCTCAAGTTTTTCTTTCTTTCTTTCTTTCTTTCTTTCTTTCTTTCTTTCTTTCTTT